GGGGAGTCCGTATAAACAACTGGGCCTCTACCCTTCAGAGCGAACTATTTGCCTTGCTCCTTGCACTGAAATGTGTACAAGTCTCCAAACTTGATACATTAATTGTAAGTGACTCCTTATCATCCTTAAATGCTCTCAACTCTTTAAGACATAACTGTAACATGCTCGTGTCCGAAGCTAGACACAAATACAACAAAATTATTAAGAATGGTAACAGAGTCCATTTCATGTGGTCTCCATCTCATGTTGGCCTCCGAATGCATGATAGAGCTGATGAGTTAGCCAAAGAATCTGCCTTTAAAGGAGCCGTTGAGTGTAACCTTGGATTGTCAATGAGCAATCTGAGAGCAGCAGTACACCGAGAACTTCAACAAGATCTTGTAGATCTGAGGCAAAGTGAAATTGACACCAGTAATTCCATCTATCATCATACTATCATGCAAGAGGAGCCACATATCTATGGATCATCCAATAAAATCAGCAGACTTCTAGATGTTACTACTGCTCGGCTTAGACTCGGTTACAAGTATCTCTGGGAATTCTCATTATCTGCTGATGTAGACCTGACCAAATGTAAACTGTGTCAACAAAATTATTCGCACACCCTCCGTCACTATGTGATGGAGTGCGAAAAGATACGTGAATTTAGAGACAATTCTATATCCAATGTTCCAGCGATGTGTAAATATTTCATTCAAAATGATTTGCTACCAGAAATTTTAGCCAAATATCCCCAGTTTGCTAACTGTAGGTAGTAACTGAGTGACTGTAACCTATCCACCGCTGCCTACTGGATGGGGGGCGGTGTGCAGGACAAACATATAAATTGTGACACTAGCTCTCCACATATGTCAGTTGCTTAATTTAGAAATTGTACTTGTGGTCGATCTCGAACCCATTGTTGATGTGACAACTTATATTGAATTTTGTAACTAGCTCATCAAGATTGTAACTTGCTTAGCTAAATGAATTGTGGGGTTCAGTCCCTGAGCCCATTATGTGCCTCTGTAACCCTTTCCACTACCGCCCACAAGATGGGTATGGGGTGCATAATAAATGAACTAAACTAACTAGTGTTTGAATGATGGACACAACATCTGTAGGGCTGACTGGTGAAAGAAGAGAGTTTGGGTAGCTGCCTGCCTGGGTAGCTGCCTGCCTGGGTAGCTGAACTTACTTGTGTTCACTTCTTTGCACCAATGCACGCACTTGGGTATGTACACTTCTTCTGCACCAATGCACGTGCTTGGTTGTGTTCACTTCTGCCCGGCCTGCCTGTCATCTTCGGTACATTTCTATTATTTATTTATTTATGTATGTACAAGAAAGTACATTGGGTTGTGAGAGTACATAACATTGGTGCTTTTACATTTTTGCAAAGCCACTAACACCCATAGTGTTTCGGGGACCTGACATTGAGGTCAGGTGCCCTTGCAACATGCAACTGACCCCATGTCAGTGATAGGATACATCTGTAGCCATACACATGCTTTAGTGCAGAGGAAGTGCAACGTATTCTCTCGAATAATACATCGCATTTTGACGTCAGGCTCTCCAACGGACAAAATATGATTTACTATAAATCACAGCGACTCGGAAACATTCACGTTTGCTACAACTCTCCAAGGCATAACTGTGACGTGCTTGTGTCTGAAGCTAGACACAGATATAATGAAATAATCAATGATGGAGTCATTGGAGACTCCAGTGACTCCATCATTGTTTGATGGAGTGATCACTCCAATGATCACCGGAGACATCCACAGAGTTTGTCTTCTGTGGATTCCTTCCCATATTGATTTCCGAATGCATTATAGAACTGATGAGTTAGCCACTTCAGTTCGAACTGAAATGGCTAACTCTAACTAGCAGTTCTAACATTTAACTCAAATGTTTTAAACATTTTAGATCATTTCTTACTGTTCTCCTCTTATTGGAAACATGAAAACGTTACTTTGCTTGAAGCCCAAGTCGGGCAAGTGTTCTACCACTTCCTGTACCTCTGGGACAGGCGATTGAAGCGGGGTGTTTGTCAGTCCACTTCCTAAAATCTGCTGCACTTAACGTGATGGTGTTGGAGGACTCTTGATACGGTTATTAGACCCTTTTTCCTCTCCTTCACTGAGAGATTCTCGCTCTAGACCTGGAACTTCCAAGGGAATGGTCCACTGGCCACTGGATGTCCAGTCAAACTTTGCTGGAGGAATCTGTTCCTCTGAGCTGCCATCTTTTGTAGACGGCACTTGAATCTTCGATTTTTTAATCGTGTTTTGCTCATAAAGAAGGAATTTATTACCATCTTGGACTGCCTTTGAGCAGCCTGAGGGCAGTAATATTCCGGGAACATCAACAAAATCTCGTAAACTTGAGGCAAAGTGAAATTTACAACAGTTCCTCCATCTATCATTATTCTCTTATACAGGAAGTACCGCACGTCTATGGGTCATCCAATCAGGTTAGCAGACTTGTAGATGTTACCACTGCTAGGCTTAGGCTCGGCTACAAGTACCTCTGGGAGTTTGTAACATCTGCTAATGTAGATTTGATTAAATGTAAACTCTGTCAGCAAAACTATTCGGATACGTTGCATTATTATTTTGCCCGAAACGCTGTGAGTATTAGTGGCTTTAGGTATTGTATGTACTAGCTCTATAAATCCAACATTATGTTTGTAACTCATCTTCCATGTATGTACTTTTACCTGAATAAACATTTTGATTTGGTTTTGAGTTTGATTATATAATGCAATGTGAAAAAATCGCGGAATCCAGATATGATACCATCAATAGAGTTCAAGAAATGTGTGTAAGTACTTCATTCTCAATGATGTACTACCAGGAATCTTAGCCAAGTATCCCAAGTTTGGTGACTGTAGGTGCAGCCTGCACATGACTGTAGGTGCAGCCTGTACAAGACTGTAGGTGCAGCCTGCACATGATTGTAGGTGCAGCCTGCACATGACTGTAGGTGCAGCCTGTACATGATTGTAGGTGCAGCCTGTACATGACTGTAGGTGCAGCCTGCACATGACTGTAGGTGCAGCCTGTACAAGACTGTAGGTGCAGCCTGCACATGATTGTAGGTGCAGCCTGCACATGACTGTAGGTGCAGCCTGTACATGACTGTAGGTGCAGCCTGTACATGACTGTAGGTGCAGCCTGCACATGACTGTAGGTGCAGCCTGCACATGATTGTAGGTGCAGCCTGTACATGACTGTAGGTGCAGCCTGTACATGACTGTAGGTGCAGCCTGCACATGACTGTAGGGGCAACCTGCATATGACTGTAGGGGCAGCCTGCACATGACTGTAGGTGCAGCTTGTACATGACTGTAGGTGCAGCCTGCACATGACTATAGGGGCAGCCTGCACATGACTGTAGGTGCAGCCTGCACATGACCGTAGGGGCAGCCTGCACATGACTGTAGGTGCAGCCTGACCATGACTGTCGGTGCAGCCTGCACATGACTGTAGGTGCAGCCTGACCATGACTGTAGGTGCAGCCTGCACATGACTGTAGATGGAGCTTGCACATGACTGTAGGTGCAGCCTACACATGACTGTAGGGGGCAGCCTACATATGATTGTAGGTGCAGCCTGCACATGACTGTATTACAGTCTGCACATGACTGTAGGTGCAGCCTGCACGTTACTGTATTGCAGTCTGCACATGACTGAATTGCAGTCTGCACATGACTGTAGGTGCAGCCTGCACATGACTGTATTGCAGTCTACACATGACTGTAGGTACAGCCTGCACATGACTGTATTGCAGTCTGCACATGACTGCAGGTGCAGCCTGCACATGACTGTAGGTGCAGCCTGCACATGACTGTATTGCAGTCTGCACATGACTGTATTGCAGCCTGCACATGACTGTAGGTGCAGCCTGCATATGACTGTAGGTACAGCCTGCACATGACTGTAGGTGCAGCCTGCACATGACTGTAGGGGCAACCTGCCCATGACTGTAGGTGCAGCCTGCACATCTTCAAAAGATTGTCACTTGCTTAGCTAAAGGAACTATGGCGTTCTGTTCATGAACCCATTAAGTGCCTCTGTAACCCTTTCCACCACCACCCCCGGGATGGGTATATATGGGGTGCATTATAAAGAAAAATAATTGCTATACGTGGGTCCGTCGGTTAAGTTAGGTTTGGATTGGCCAGTTTAGTACACTATTTTTTGTCCATTATGACAGATCGAGATTAATTGATAGATGAAGATTAAGCCACCCGAGAGGTGTCACGGGCATGAATAGCCCGTAATAGATGGAGAGGACTGGCTGGGTGGATATGGTGGGAAAGATGAGGGAGGGGGTGAGGAGAGAGAGCCAGCGAGCGAGCCAGCAAGGTGGATTGGGGGGAGAGAGTAGAGAGGAGGCGTGGGGGAGATGTAAGGGAGGACGGTGGAGAGGGGAAGAAAGATGAGGTGGGGAAGGGGGGGAGAGAAAGGGAGACTCCTGGTGCCCTATGTAGTCTTATATATTTCTCATAGATATACACAATCTCCAGGCTGCAGCCCACAACAGCTAACGCCCAAGGTACCTATTTTACCGCTAGGTGAACAGAGACATCACGTAAAAGAAGCTACCTAATTGTTTCCGCTCAGAAGGGAATCTGGGTCTCTAGATTGTGATTCGCGTACGGTGACCAATAGGTCGCGAGACAATGTGGGAGTTGTAGTGGGGAGGTGCGCGGGCGTCTGCGTACATATCGCTGTTTTGTGTCCATAAGTGTGTGTTTGTGGGGACCTATTAGAGACGTTCTTGGCGACAAATAACTTCGTCGTGAAGCCCCCAATCATTCACAGTAACAATCGGTCCCTCGTACCTGGACGAGTCCGGTCTGGGTGCACAAGCTAGCAGCATGAAGTAGTAGTAGGCATATTTGGCAATGTTGCATCACTCACAAGGGGGAGGGTTGTGGGCGGGAGGGCTGGGAAGGGTGTGTTGGGAGCTATATAGCCCTCATCGCTGCCGTTCCACCACAGTCCACACTTGCTGCCCCACTACCACACACCTCCGTCGCTGCCTCACTATGAAGACCTTCGCACTTGGTAAGCAAGTCTCGTGTTTGTATATAGATCGTGCAAGCTAAGCTAAGTCTTGTGATTTTCTTCATTCTCTCTTTTAACTGCATGTTTCTTGGCGTCTTGTGACAGCGCTCCTTCTGGTGGGCATGGCAGTCGCCCTACCTAGAGTTCGGCGAGATTCTACACCTCTCTTCTTAGAGCTTCCGTCCAACGCCTCTCTGATCTTGGGTGATGTCAAGACAGGCTTCGACTGCGCTGATCTTCCGTATGGCTACTACGCTGACGAACCCAACAACTGTGCTATCTTTCACGTGTGTCTTCCTTACATCAACTTCGGCGAGGTCATCATCCGTCACTTCTCGTTTTTCTGCGGCGAGGGCACCATCTTCGACCAGCAGCGCCTCGTATGCGCCAAACCTCAGGAAGCCATTCCCTGCTCTCAGGCTGCAGCCTTCAAAAAGTCTAATGAGTATTTCGGTCGTGTGGATGTAAATTTCAACGAGTAAACATATGATACAAGGACCCGACCACCGACCGGGGACCTTATCACTTCCCAGGGCTCTGGTGGAGCCAGGAATGGGGTCCTCGACCCGACTACGACGACGACCGAACAGCAACTCTGACATTAACTCGAGGTTCAGATTAACTCGAGGTTCACACTAACCAAACGAACAGATCGTGAGATGCACTTCGTCCCCCGCCCCTCAGCACACTGTAACATATTTCAGTCTTGTAATAAATAAGGAACCATTTAATGACGAAACTCTTAATTAACCCGGAGAATGCGACATTTTGTCTATATTTTCAACAATCTATTTTGGATTTAATAGTCTCTTGCCATTTGAATTCACTTGTTATCCAGCGACATTTTTGTTTCACTTCTCTCTTTTTTTTTTAACATAAACCTTAGTGGTTACTGTCATTTTCTGAAATAAACCAATTTGCCTCTCTCCCTCGTTTTCCACGTGAATCGGTAATCTTCGAGAGGAAACACTATTAAAGAACTAATTAAATATTTTCTTTCGAAATACTATATATATTTTATTTAAATTTAAAATTTGTATAACCTTGCAATAATTGCCAGTAAACCTAAATATCTGTGAGAGCTGGAGTTAATACAACACTAAACTAAACTTTTACATAAATTTAATCTCGAAGGTAAACACCACAGTATTTGTGTTCAGTGAGTATGATAATTTGTTTACCTTCAAGTGCTATGTGACGACTGTTGCCAGCAGTAGTGTGTGTACCTGTATGTTAAGTAATTGTCAAAAGAAAGTGCTAATAAGCCAAGATAGATATTATGCAGTATCCCAATCAATGATTCGCAGAGGGTTTCATTGAAGGACTTGTGGCTATTTGGAACGGTGTAAAAGACAGATTTCCAATAATATTAAAATATGGACATTCTATACTTAGCAACACCAAGCAGAACAACGTAAGGGTTTTTCACGTCGGTTTTGAGGTAACCTGCGTTTATTATGTAGGAGGCAGCCGCGTGCCTGTACTGGCCTGCACCCAGGCCACACTTGTTCCATCCCTCTACCAGTACTGGCCAGCACCCAGGCCACACTTGCTCCATCCCTCTACCTGTACTGGTCTGCACCCAGGCCACACTTGTTCCATCCCTCTACCTGTACTGGTCTGCACCCAGGCCACACTTGTTCCATCCCTCTACCTGTACTGGTCTGCACCCAGGCCACACTTGTTCCATCCCTCTACCTGTACTGGTCTGCACCCAGGCCACACTTGTTCCATCCCTCTACCTGTACTGGCCAGCACCCAGGCCACACTTGCTCCATCCCTCTACCTGTACTGGCCAGCACCCAGGCCACACTTGTTCCATCCCTCTACCTGTACTGGCCAGCACCCAGGCCACACTTGCTCCATCCCTGTACCTGTACTAACCAGCACCCAGGCCACACTTATTCCATCCCTCTACCTGTACTAACCAGCACCCAGGCTCCACTTGTTCCATCCCTCTACCTGTACTGGCCAGCACCCAGGCCACACTTGTTCCATCCCTCTACCTGTACTGGCCAGCACCCAGGCTCCACTTGTTCCATCCCTCTACCTGTACTGGCCTGCACCCCAGGTCTCACTTGTTCCATCCCTCTACCTGTACTGGCCAGCACCCAGGCCTCACTTGTTCCATCCCTCTATCTGTACTGGCCAGCACCCAGGCCACACTTGTTCCATCCCTCTACCTGTACTGGCCAGCACCCAGGCTCCACTTGTTCCATCACTCTACCTGTACTGGCCTGCACCCCAGGTCTCACTTGTTCCATCCCTCTACCTGTACTGGCCAGCACCCAGGCCTCACTTGTTCCATCCCTCTACCTGTACTGGCCAGCACCCAGGCCTCACTTGCTCCATCCCTCTACCTGTACTGGCCAGCACCCAGGCCTCACTTGCTCCATCCCTCTACCTCTACTGGCCTGCACCCCAGGTCTCACTTGTTCCATCCCTCTACCTGTACTGGCCAGCACCCAGGCCTCACTTGTTCCATCCCTCTATCTGTACTGGCCAGCACCCAGGCCACACTTGTTCCATCCCTCTACCTGTACTGGCCAGCACCCAGGCCTCACTTGTTCCATCCCTCTACCTGTACTGGCCAGCACCCAGGCTCCACTTGTTCCATCCCTCTACCTGTACTGGCCAGCACCCAGGCCACACTTGCTCCATCCCTCTACCTGTACTGGCCAGCACCCAGGCTCCACTTGTTCCATCCCTCTACCTGTACTGGCCTACACCCAGGCCTCACTTGCTCCATCCCTCTACCTGTACTGGCCTGCACCCAGGCCTCACTTGCTCCATCCCTCTACCTGTACTGGCCAGCACCCAGGCCACACTTGTTCCATCCCTCTACCTGTACTGGCCTGCACCCAGGCCACACTTGTTCCATCCCTCTACCTGTACTGGCCAGCACCCAGGCCACACTTGTTCCATCCCTCTACCTGTACTGGCCAGCACCCAGGCCACACTTGTTCCATCCCTCTACCTGTACTGGCCAGCACCCAGGCCACACTTGTTCCATCCCTCTACCTGTACTGGCCTGCACCCAGGCCTCACTTGCTCCATCCCTCTACCTGTACTGGCCTGCACCCAGGCCACACTTGCTCCATCCCTCTACCTGTACTGGCCAGCACCCAGGCCACACTTGTTCCATCCCTCTACCTGTACTGGCCTGCACCCAGGCCACACTTGTTCCATCCCTCTACCTGTACTGGCCTGCACCCAGGCTCCACTTGTTCCATCCCTCTACCTGTACTGGCCTGCACCCAGGCCTCACTTGTTCCATCCCTCTACCTGTACTGGCCTGCACCCAGGCTCCACTTGTTCCATCCCTCTACCTGTACTGGCCTGCACCCAGGCCTCACTTGTTCCATCCCTCTACCTGTACTGGCCTGCACCCAGGCTCCACTTGTTCCATCCCTCTACCTGTACTGGCCTGCACCCAGGCTCCACTTGTTCCATCCCTCTACCTGTACTGGCCTGCACCCAGGCTCCACTTGTTCCATCCCTCTACCTGTACTGGCCAGCACCCAGGCCTCACTTGTTCCATCCCTCTACCTGTACTGGCCTGCACCCAGGCCTCACTTGTTCCATCCCTCTACCTGTACTGGCCTGCACCCAGGCTCCACTTGTTCCATCCCTCTACCTGTACTGGCCTGCACCCAGGCTCCACTTGTTCCATCCCTCTACCTGTACTGGCCTGCACCCAGGCTCCACTTGTTCCATCCCTCTACCTGTACTGGCCAGCACCCAGGCCTCACTTGTTCCATCCCTCTACCTGTACTGGCCTGCACCCAGGCTCCACTTGTTCCATCCCTCTACCTGTACTGGCCTGCACCCCAGGTCTCACTTGTTCCATCCCTCTACCTGTACTGGCCTGCACCCAGGCTCCACTTGTTCCATCCCTCTACCTGTACTGGCCAGCACCCAGGCTCCACTTGTTCCATCCCTCTACCTGTACTGGCCAGCACCCAGGCTCCACTTGTTCCATCCCTCTACCTGTACTGGCCAGCACCCAGGCTCCACTTGTTCCATCCCTCTACCTGTACTGGCCAGCACCCAGGCTCCACTTGTTCCATCCCTCTACCGCTGTATTTGTTAATGATAGCTTTCCAATATTTGTTCGGCTCCTTTTTTTCTATGACCTCTTGTTCTTGAAGTTATAGGTTCAAAAATTATTCTTCGTCAGTTTTGTAGAGACCTGTTACAATTGTGTATGTAATGATCATATTACCTCTCTTTTTTTACCTTTTGTCTTCTACATTTGGCATATTTATCGCCTCAAGCATCTCCTCGTTGCTCGTGGGTTTTTAATTCCGGAATCCATTTCGTACCCTGGTCTTCCCACCTCTTCCAGTCTACCGAGGTGCTTCATAAGGTCTGAGCAACGTACAACTGCTGCATTTGGTTGTGTGTTTACTATTTGTATTTACTACTTGTACCTGTAGGATCGAGCTGATAGCTCTTAAACCCCGCCTTTTTAACCGTCTGTTGACTAATGTACTGACTCCCGACCTATTTTCCTCTATCATATCTAGTATACTACTGTATATTTCTAACACACCAGGGGGCACACGCACTAGGGGACTCAGGTGGAAACCCAATTGAGTTACAGAGACATTAGAAAGAACTTTTTCAGTGTCAGAGTAGTTAACAAATGGAATGCATTAAGCAGTGATGTGGTGGAGGCTGACTCCTTAGACAGTTTCAGGTGTGGATATGATAGAGCCCAGCAGGCTCTATCTATTGTACGTACACCAGTTGATTGACGGTTGAGATTCTGGACCAAAAAGCCAAAGATCAACCCCTGTAAGCCCAATTAGGTGCATACAATTAGGTAAGTGCGTGCGCATCTCAAGTAACTGCCTAACTCCCAGGTACCTATTTACTACTAGGTGAACAGGTGCAGCAGGTGAAATAAACTGACCAATTTGTCTCTGCCTCGGTCGGGAATCGATTCCGGGCCTTTATGACTACGACCCCAGGGCGCTGTCCGCTCGGATATGTGTATGTGTACTCGCCTAATTGTGCTTGCGGGGTTGAGCTTAGGTTCTTTGGTTCCGCCTCTCAGCTGTCAATCAGCTGGTGTACAGGTGCCTGAACCTATTGGGCTCTATCATAACTACATCTGAAAATGTGTATGGAGTCTGCCTCCACCACATCACTTCCCAATGTATTCCATTTTGTTAGCTACTGACACTGAAAAAATTATTTCTAATGTGTGTGTACTAACCTATTTGTGTCTGCAGGATCAAGCATTAGCTCTTGGACCCAACATTCTAGCCATCGGTTGATTAAAGCAATGACTCCTGTCCTATTTCCCTACCTACCTTGAGGCTACCTTGAGGTGCTTCCGGGGCACCTCAAGGTAGCCTCAAGGTAGGTAGGGAAATAGGACAGGAGTCATTGCTTTAAACAACCGATGGCTAGAATGTTGGGTCCAAGATTCTAGCCATCGGTTGTTTAAAGCCTATCATATCATATCATATCACCCTATCATATCACTTTTAAATTTATGAATGGCGTTTGTTTCTATAACCTGCTTCTTTAGCTCATTTGACTTCCCCACTACTCTTACGCTACATTACCTTGCTGTTGCCTTGCGATGATTTCGGGGCTCAGCGTCCCCGCGGCCCAGTCCTCGACCAGGCTGTTGGACGCGGCAGGTCGCAGCCTGACGTATGAATCACAGCCTGGTTAATCTGGTCTAGGTAAGCAATTATCAAAAGAAGGCACCAAA